TGTTTAAAATCTGTCCTGTGCCCATTGACCTTTGACCTGTGACCTGAATTTCGGCACAGTGATGGCTTTTCCTACCATGATGCTATACACCAACTATCACGAGCCTAGGTCGAGCCGTTTCGATTTGTGCCGCAATTCTGCATTTCCTCCCTATACCTTAAGTTAAGGAGTGAATGTTCCCCCTTCTTTTACACCCGCTTGACCTTTGACCTTTGACCCCCAGCTTCGACATCCCAACTCGTTTTGACGATCCCCCCCAATGTGCCGAATATCGTGACCGTACGTCGAGCGGTTAAGATTTGTGCTCAACTGTTGACGGACGCACGCACGGACGGACGGACGGACGATCATGCGATTCTACAAGCTGCACCTGACTACGTCAGATGAGCTAAAAACACATTAATTTTCAAGTCGTAAAAAATCGTAAGTTTTTCAATTTGATCGTACATTCGTAAAAACATATTGGAATTAGTAAGGAATACGAAAAAATCGTAAGGGTTGGCAGGTCTGGATTGTGCGATACTTCCCCAAGTGAGCGGCTCGGCTAGCGGGTTACTTCGGCCTCACCCAGGTAACGCAAAAATACCACGTGACTGCCAAATCGAACGTATTTGGGGCTGGCCCGAGTAGACCCTGGTTAACTTGGGGAAGCAAATCAAATGCACTATACTATAGCCAAGAATGTCACAAAAACCTTTAAGATTTTCATTATACTTTTGAAATTTGGAGTGAATTTATCACCCAAACTTAACATGCCCGACACCTCAATACCGCCACCTACTGTTTAAACTGTTCATAACATACAAGCGTATAGAGAGCTTATTTAGAGCCTATACTATGGCCATTAGTACATTACCACATTCCCTACGAAACACGAGTTAGCTCGTGGCAATATTTTTGCTGTATGTTTACTATTTTTTCCCATAGATAAAGCAGTCTAAGTTGACAAATATTAAATAGAATGTTTTACCACTGATTTGAACACAATATACTTTTTAAGACTGTGGCTATTCACAGTCAATTGCAATTAAAAAGTCTGTTGTGAACACGTCAGCTTCAATTACAGCCAACTTTGAACCTATTTATTTACATTAAGTATGTAAAAATAGTTGAAGGCGACATATATTTAGAATTAAGATACGATATTACATGTCTAAATAATGCCATGGGGTAAAAACATAGCTTTAGTTCACTATAACAGAATACTAGCACATTTTAACATGAGCACTAAATTTAATTAATTTAGCTTGAAACCCAGATTATTTACTGTAGTTCAACTGAGTGATATATAAGTGTTTCGCACAGGAAAATTTTAAGTTTTTTACAGACAAACAAAAATCAGGGCACATAAACCACAAATGTTTAAGATGTGTTACATACATTTCATGCTAGAAATACCAGAAAACTACCGAACAAACTTACAACCAACTTGCGGAAAGCCACCACTGCAGTGACATGAGGCAAAAAAATGTGCAAAATGCTAGTTTATTCCATGTGTTTATATCATTATTAAATTATATGCTAAGAAAGAGTTGTAATATTATTTGAATGTGTAAGGAGATTTAAGATTTCTGTTAAAGAAAAATTATTTAATTTTGTTAACTCCCATGCAACAATAAACCAGTAAATCAATAAACGACTACGTGGTAAAGCGTGAAAACCCCAGCAAAGGGTGACCGACAACCACGAATAAAAATTGTGCCCTAGAAATCTTAAATCTAAGTATTCTAGGTCTCATTTGAAGCTATGGGACTTATCTAGGCTACAGTCTGACATCTCAGATTACACAAATTCCTTTAAAGGCACAACCTATTGTCCCAAGCTGATAGTCTGCTCGAATCAAGGGATCAACTTCCAACTTCAAGGGCATGGGATCACGTTTATATTAGAGGAAGATCAGATAGTGGTTTTGGGGGTGATACTCCATTAGCAGTGTTCCCAACTTTAATGTCATTAATGGTCATATATATATATATATATGGTCATGGTCATATATTAGTTTGTGGTTTAATCAAATTAATGTCATTTAGGTTAGGGTTAAGTTTAAGGTTAGGGTTAGGGTTAGGTTTATCATTATCAATCCTTAATCGTTAATCATTAATGATATTGATATCAAAGTTGGGAACACTCCTAATAATGAGTAATTACACGCACTAGGCCTAGTATTGTCACTACTGAAACTGTTTGGCTAACAGAACTAATTCAGTACAGTAGGCCTAATTGAGTTTAGACCAGAAATCAATCATGTTCATCAATTTGTTGTCCCAAAAAATAGTCTTTAGACGATACTCATTCACTGTAACGTTATTACAGAATATAGACTCAGTTTACAATTACAATTAAACGCATAAACGTCAGTAAAAACACACATTTGTTGATCGTATAAAAAGACGACACAACTCACTTAATTTCAAAATTTTTATATGCCAAAGTTGATCGAGGAACACGAAAAATGGCGGCAGGGTATTGTGAAAACTGGAAACCAAAGAAGAAGTTCAAATACGGCGTAGGTTTCAGTCTGGAGGGAACAGTGCGTAGTAACTCGTAGACTGGTACCCGATCCCACCTTTCGGCTTAGGCCCTACCCATCGAGTAATCAAGGTGGGAGCAAGTACCAGTCTAAGGAACTCGCTGACGAAACTAAACTAATCTGTCGTCGCGCTTGCATTTGCGTATTTAGCCAGCAGATGGCGCCAGGATGAGGCACACATGCATGGAGATGATTTGCGGTTTTTGACGGCGGCGAGTAGAGTTGTAAATGTAACTTGCACGTCTAGTTAAACACCAACCTTACAGAAAATAGCCTCTACAAAATGTCGTTATTAAGAAGTAAGTGTAGATCAGTATTGTTTGATATTGTGAACTGTTATCGACGATGTAACACTACTTACAGTAACAGCTCATCCGAACGAGGCACTTTGAGCGTTTCAATAAATAACTTTACTCTTTACTCTTTAGTCTTTATAAGTATAAGTATAAGTGCTAAATAAATATTAAAATACGAAATCTATTTTATTTACTAGTAGTAGTACTACCAATTAAAGTCTTAATA